CTCACACCTCACATCTTTCGGTAACACAAAACTCTGGCCTGTATACGTATACTTCGGTAATGAGTCCAAATATCGTCGCGGAAAACCAAGCTTCAAATCCTGCAACCATGTTGCATACCTCGAGAAGGTAGATTTCTATATCCCATCTCATTACCATGTCTTTCTAAACAGTCTTCCAGCTACCCCCTTCCTTTAATGACTTTGCTTCAAAGTTTACCGGTGGGAAAGGACCGACAAGTCAATTTTACACACATTGTGGGCGGGAATTCTTTCACGAACAGATGAAAGCTCTCATCGATGATGAATTTGCGTATGCATGGGAGCATGGGATTGTTATCAGATGTGGCGATGGTATCTCTCGACGGTTTTATCCGCGGATCTTCACATATTCCGCAGATTATCCAGAAAAGTGAGTGTTACCTGTTTGGTTGGAGAAGCTTGATCTAACACCTTCCTAGGATCCTTTTAGCTAGTATTCGCGACAAAGGAGCCTGCCCTTGCCCGCGTTGCCTAGTCCCTAAGATGGAGATTAGCAAGTTGGGATCTGCAGAAGATCGTCAAAAAAGGAAGTCTTCAGCAAGAGTGGATGACGTGGGGCGGCGCCGTAACATTGCCAAGGCGAGGAATCTGATCTACAAAGAAAACAATCGGGTAAATGGTGCCGCTGTAGAAAGGATTTTAAAAGAGGCGTCTTTGGTCCCCAACCAAGTAAGTCCATAAACTGCAGCTGCGTTAGTGTCATCTTATTCGCAACCAAAGAATGCATTTTCCGACAACTTAAGTCATCTTGGATTCAATTTTTTTCAAATGCTGGCCGTTGATTTGCTGCATGAATTTGAACTGGGAGTGTGGAAAGCATTATTCACTCACCTTCTCCGTATCCTGGCAGCAATCAATCCAGATTTGCTAAATGAACTTGACCGAAGGTAAGTTTCCCCTCCAAAGTTTGTACCGTGCCCTAGAGTATTGAACGCAAATGTAAAAGATATCGACAAATCCCAACCTTCGGCAAGGGCACCATTCGAAAGTTTTCTTCCAACACTTCTCAAATGAAGAAGTTGGCCGCTCGCGACTTTGAGGATATTTTGCAAGTCAGTCATCTCTAATAGTTGAACCCTGTGATTTCAACTTTCTTAACGCATCCTCAGTGTGCATTACCCGTGTTTGATGGCTTGCTGACTGGCGACAATCAAACTTCAGTCATGCGCTTATTATTCATTTGCGCTCACTGGCATGGACTTGCTAAACTTCGCATGCACTCCGACCCAACACTTCAGCTGCTTGATGATCTGACAACTGAAATTGGAAGCTCGTTACGTGAGTTTTCAAGCATTGTTTGCCCCTCCTACAAAACTCGCGAACTCCCTCGTGAACTGGAGGCACGACATCGCAGAGCTGCCAAACAGTCAAAAGCTGATGATGTCGCCGCACGAGGTGTTGATCTAAGCAATGCAGGCCAAACTGGACCACGTATCAAAAAGTATAACATAGACACCTACAAGCATCACTCGCTTGGAGACTACGTCAATGAAATTTGAGAAAGAGGGACAACAGATTCGTATAGCACTGAGCCCGTGAGCTATGTCATCGGTTATATATTCATTGCTGGCATTATGGCTTACAAGTCTTTACCAGGGAGAATTGGAACACCGAACTCCGAAGGCGAGGTATCGAAGGACCGACAAAAAGCTTTTTATCAAGCAATTGACACAGATTGAACGGCGCCAAACCCGTTTGCGGCGCCTCAGAAGAAATTACTTTCCAACTTCACCCCTATCTCACAGTAATAAGGAGAGATTGAACGGATCGGCCAAGGATCACCATCACATAGGAAAATCCGAAGCTCTCTATGAAGATATTGGCTCGTTTCTTCGGACTCGTGATGATGACCCTGCCACAAAGGTGAACTTTTACCCAACCGCTTGAAGGCAAAACGTTACTAAGCACCACATCTCAGAATTTTCTCCCAAAACTCAAAGCACATTTGCTCCCTCGCATCCAGGCTGCTAGAGTGCCATCCGATCTGGCCTATCTGAATCAAGTTCAAGCTCCCCTGCACACTGTAGAACCCCAGACGCTCGACAATGTGCTTTTCAAGTTTAATCGCCTCTACTTTCACAATACCATGTGCGTCAATTACACAACATATGACATTCGCCGGGCTCAAGACACCATCAACGTGAACACTGAGCGCCGAGATATAATGGTTTTGTCAAAGAGTGACAGTTCTGGTACTGATGATTCTGATGAGTCATTGGCCTTCATATACGCAAGGGTTTTGGGGATTTGTCATGTCAATGTGGTCCAAACTGGTGCCGCAACGCCAGACTACACTCCTCAAAGATTCAACTTCTTGTGGGTTAGATGGTTCAGAAGGGTCTCACCTGGCAGTTGGTGAGCACACAGACTAGAACACGTCTCGTTTCCACCCATGGCTGATGAATCTTCGTTCGGGTTCCTAGATCCTAATGATGTCGTTCGGGCATGTCACATCATTCCAGTGTTTTCGCTTGGGGTACGGTATCCTGACAGCCAGGGTCTCTCGGTCTGCGCCCGAGATTCTACAGACTTTTGCCAATATTATATTGGCCGGTAAGTCATGCACCACATTTCACATGGAGTTATTGAATCTAACTTCATGCTTGCCAGATTTGCAGATCGGGATATGTTGATGCGCTATCATGTTGGCCTCGGAATTGGCCATGTTGGCAGTAACAATGGGGTCCTCCATTCACATGTCATTGGGAGCGAGGCTGGCCATAACTCAAACTTAGAGGTTGTTGAGAACATGGACCATCAACCTCACAGTCTGGAGTCGGGTGATGAAGTTGAAGTCGAGGACCAGCTGGCAAATTCTGACCATCATGATGACTCTTCAAACAATGATTCGGAGGATGATCTTGACGATGGGTATGGATCAGATGATGATTATGATACGTCTCATGCTAGGGACTCAGACCCCGGTTCAGAATCTTTTGGCTCTGAGTCAGAGTATGATGACTAGGACAAGATTCCTTTTTATATATTGTGGCTCTATTCAGAACGATGCCGCCTTTTTCAACTGCAAGTTAAGCAGAGTCATAATCAAAGTTTTGTGTCTATGCCCAGCATTAATAAGTTGACTCCCGCCGTTGCGTAGCTTCCATGGCCATCACAAACATTGTCAAACAATGATAACTTCACTTTTTTTTTGGTTTCAATAGTGACGGTGTCCATTTCGCTGGTGAATTTGTAATGGGGACTGGATTCATTTGATAACTTCACAGCATAGGATCAACTCAGCGAAGGTTACTATGAGAGGC